TGGAAGGCTCCAGAAGCACCGGTGATCCCATCCCAATGGGAAAAAAAAGGAATAACGATGGCAAATCCCCCCAATTCCATCCCACGGGCCATTGAGCGTCCTCGTGGCAAGAGGCTGCGGATAGAAACGGGATAAATCCCACTAAACCACGTTTGCTGGGAGGAGATTACAACGGGGGAGGCGCTAACGCGGGAAACGCGGGGGCTGGAATTCCCGCTGCCCGCGGTGGAAAAGCAGGAAGAGGGTTGGGAATGGCTGGGAGCGAGGGGCAGGAGCTGAGCCCTGGTTTAGGGATAAACATGGCTCCGGTTCGCTGGGGCTTAACCCAGCGCTGGGAGACTGAGGCTTAAGCCCAGCTCTGGTTATAACTGAGACTTACCCACTGCATAAGCAAGGCTTAAACCCAGCTCTAAGCTAAGGCTTAAAGTGAGTTCTGGTTAAGGCAAGACTTAAACCCTGCCCTGGTTAAGCAGGACTTAAAGTCACCTGTGGTTAAACAAGGCTTAACCCCAGCCCTGGCTGAGCGGGACTTAACCCCAGCCGCAGGTGACTGAGCCGAGGTCTTGGCTCCCTGAGCTCGGCATCCCCATCCCCTGCTTCCCGCTGGAACCTGGCCCGAAAAAAGGAACCTGGCCCCGGCCTCAACCCTGCCTTGGGAAGGCTGCTCCAGGGGAACCTTCGGGAATGCCAAACCCTCCATTTCCCGCAGATTTCCCAGCTTGGGCTGGGATTTGGCTTCAACACGCCAGGAATCCAGCGGGGATTAAGGAGGAGCAGGGCGGGGGATGAATTAACCCCCCCTTAAGCACCATATGGGGTGGTTGTTAATGCCCCACATCCCACCCTGGGCTCAAAGAGCCAGAGCAGGGCCACGTGGGCTGAAAATCCTGAGCCTGGAATGCCGGATTCCCACACTTAAGCCTGGCCAGAGCAAGATCCCAGTTTAAATCCCTTTTGCCATGCTCAGGAGCTTTCCCCTCTGGGGTTTAAGTCGTTGGGAAGGGGGGTGCCGGAGCCCCCTCTATTCTAGAAGCAGAAGAGCACCCGAAAGCAGGTCTATGCTCCAAGGGGAAGTGGTAAACCCCTGGAATGCTGCCGGCTCTGGAATACCAACAGCAGGAGCAGAGCTGGAAGCAAAGGATTACAACAAGGCTTAAAAGAGCTCTAAAGGAGCTTTTCCCTTTCCAATTCCTCTCCAATGTGCAAACGGGCCGGGAAGTTGGGAACATGCTTTAGGGCGGGATGCCATTGGGAAGCGGGATGCCAGCGCCGGAGCTTAGCAGCTGGAGGAGTGCGCGCTTCCCAGCTGGCCAGCAGCCAGCATCAGGATGTCTTTCTTCTCCTTATGGAAGCGCAGCTCCTTCCCGGCCAAGCGGGCTTCATCCAGCTCCCGCTCCGTCGATGCCAGCTCTCGGGAAAGAGCCCCCGGGCTGCTCTGCTCCCGGTTCACCCAGTCCATGGCCATCTGGTTCCTTATGTCATCGTCCAGAGCGCGGTGGGAATAGTGAGCCAGGACTTCCTGGTGGGAATGGCAGGGAAAACAAGTCACCGCATGGGATACAGGGGGTTGGGAGGGGCATGAGGCGTTGGGAATGCTGCTGGGGATAGCGGGACTCACCTGCCGTGAGCACTGCCTCTCCCGCATGGCTTTAAGGCTGCCGTTCCAATGGAGCAGTTGGAACACGGTCATCAGCTCCTGGAATGGCAAGAGGGGGTTGGGAATAAAGTGTGGGATGAGGGGGAAGTGTCAGGAGCACGTGGTGGGATGAGGACTTGGTGTCGGGAGCAGCCAAGGCAGTTCCCAGCTCCAGGCACAAGGAGCCAGGAAGGACTTTGGAACATCACGTCCCATCCTTTGTGCTTCCAGGGATCACGGAGCCTGGTCCCAGCTCCAGAGGCTGGAAGTCCAAGACTCCCTCAAGGCCACCCAGACACAGGGACAACATTCCAAAGCCAATCCCAAGCCCAGGAATACTCTGTGGCAACAGCCCGTTCATATAAACACGCTGGCTCCCACCTCCGGAGCGTTTCCATCCCAGGGAAAGGAGCCAGGGAAGCGCTGCAGGAAAAGCTGCCCCAAGGCAAAGAAGCCCCATTACAGCAGCACGAGGGGCTTTGGGATGCACCCAATGGATCCACGGCATTCCATCACGAGCAGTACCTGGAATTCCAGCATCGATTTCCCCTTGTTGGATTCCAGCATGAAGCGGAAGGCCCCGATCCCAGTGTTGGGATTATCAGCTTCCTCCCGATTGCCCTGCAGGAGACATTCCACACAAAAGCTGCAATTCCCAACCCAGCGTGGCTCTGGGCACCAGCCGGGTGCTGGTGCACTCAGCATTCCCTCCGGGATAAGTTTTAATCCTCACTATAAAACCAACCCCCAAACCTGCCGTAAGGAATTCCAGCTGGAAAAGCAACCTTCTCTTCCCATCACTTGAGGGGTTTCCTTCCCCCAAATCCATGGAAAAGCCTTACGTTGAAGGATGCCAGAGCCTCGGAAACGCTCTTCTCGATGAACTCATCCGTGATCCGTCGGGAAGGGTGTTCGTTGAACACGGAATTCATCAGCGCGATCTTGGCAGCGCTCCTCCGGGCCTCAGCCTTGGTGGGACAGAACTGGGGAGACAAGGACCCCGTCAGAGAGCCCTTTGCTCCCGCTGGGAATTGGGTGGCTGCGCTGGGCACTTATGGGATGTGACACGCTCGGACAGCCTGGAATCATTAGGAAACCACAGTTATCCCGAGCTCCGTGCCAGGAAACGCCACTGAGCAGAACAACAAACCCAAGGACTCTAAACCACAAGGACCATTCCTTAGGCCTGGAGCTGCCAGAACTGTTCCTTTGGGATATGTCCTTCAGGACACGGGGGTGAAATGCCTGAAGCCAGGAGAGCG